ATGAAAAAAAAGGAGTTTCCATTCGTCAGCCACTGCGCCGCCATTTTGTTTTTAAAAAATTAAAAAAAAATTTTTTGTTGTGTACTTTAAGACTTATATAAACATGTATGAAATACAGAATTAAAAAATATTGATTCATTTTTCTTATATAAATTGAAGAAAATGACCCTTGATTTTGTGCACACAAGGTATTACCCCTTAAAGCCTTTATTTAAAAAATTATTTGTCAGATTTAGAATTTATCCTCCCTCTCATCATCTCCTTAAAAATAAAAACGTATTTTGTCTTCAAAAAATTGTATAATTTGATGCATTCTACAGAGTGGAATAAATTTTTTTCGCAAATTTCATCGTAAAATATAGACTTTTATGTATGAATTGAAAAAAAATGAAATTTATACGTTTTTTTTTGTAGAGTTATACACCAAAGTTACCTATACATTTTTGTACATTTACCGCCAACATTAGTATTAACTGATGCGCGCCATGAGATGGTTACTAGTCGAATTTGAAGCATTGTGTGTGGGTGGGTGGGTGTGTGTGTGTGTGTGTGTTTACATTTAAAAATTTGTGTTGCCGCCTTGTCTTCGGATAATCTCTTGCAGACGCTCCTGCATATTGTTACAGACTCTAATTATTTTCTGAGGAATTTCATTCCATATTTGATTTAGTGTTGTAATCATTTCCATATTTCTGTCCTCCAACACACACACTCCGCGAAAAAAAATCGTACAAACTTCATTTTTTTCAATTCACACATAAAAGTCCATATTTTCCAATAATTATCATAAAATTTGCAAAAAAAATTTATTCCACCCCGTGGAATGCGTCAAATTATGCAATTATTTGGAGATGAAACACGTCCTTACATTTAAAAAGATAATGAGAGGGGGAGGATAAATTCTAAATCTGACAAATGATTTTTAAAAAAGAGGCTTGAAGCTTGAGAAGCTTGTATTTGAAAAAAAAATTTTTCAAATACCAGCATTTCTGACGGAGTTATATTTATTTGAAGTTATGCGAAAATTTGACATGAAATTACGTATGCAATAATTTTGTTAACGAGTATATAAAAACCGAATTTTTTCAAGAAAACAGCCATATGAAGATGAAAAAAATGTGTTTTTTATTTTGATCTAGACTACAATATATTCAAAGCTCATCAAAATTGGAAAGGGACAGTTCCGACCTAAGTAACTATAAGTTAATTATAAGTTAACCTAGTAAACTTAGTAAACACAAAGTAACAATAACATAACATAATATATCAAGTAACAGTAACATAATACATCAATTTCCCATTCAATAATGTAATTATATTTTCTTTCTCTCACTTTAACAACTCCTTCTCTTTTCTATTATGTACAAAGCATTACATTGTAGAATGGGAAATTATAACAATGGGATATTATTAACATTGATGTAATATTACTATTATTTTATGTTTATTGGATAAATAGTTAATAAATTAGTGAGTAAATAGAGCGAAAAAAGAAGGAAGTGCTATAATAGAATTGTAAAAAATAATATTGTAACTCTAAGAGAATCAGAAATAAATATATATTAACAGCATACATAATAAATTAATTATTTGTAGGATTATGAGAAAACGAAACTATTTTAATATTGAATTAAGAAGAAAGTAAGGCTTTATATAAAATCATAAATTTTAAATATCGTGAGTTAAGAGCCAAAGTGGATGTTCGTGCGTTAGTTTAACAGAAAGTTAATTAAATTCTGTAAAACTGACCATTATGCACAGGGCACGAGTTTTTCATAATTAAAGTAAATTTTTAATCTTAAATTAGAAATTTCTAATACTCTTCTTATTCCCCGGAAAAGTTTTAGGCAAGAAAAATATAAGGTCGAAGTTTGAGTCAGGAAACAAATAATTAATTTTTTTGTTAAACTGTGACGCATGACCATCCGTGTCTGGTTCTTAAGGCCCTTGCACAATGTTAAGCAACAGGCAATAAGAACAGAAATAATATCTATTCTCTGTTCCTATTGGTGAATATTTTCTGTTCCGCGCACTTATTGGTAAATAGTTTCTATTATTTCTATTGCCTGTTGCTTAACATTGTGCAAGGGGCTTTATAGCCCGCGATATTTAAACTTTATATTTCAATATCATTGTGTACAAAATTTTTTGAAAGTGATTTTGATATCACTTGTATTATTGTATAGTATATTGTGCCTAAAGTGCGAGTTTTAGGTAAACTGATTGATATTTTTCAAATGTCTTTCCATTTGTAGATAATGATATTTATTGACTTCCTAAAAATTACAATTCTTGCTTATAATCTATCTTACAGCTATGCTACTTATTTCTATTCTTATATCTATTTAATTTTTTTTATTATATCCATGCACATACACTATTCTTTTTTTTCTGCTACTGAAAGTACAGTAAAGCCTCCAGAGTTTGTCTCAAAGGACTGAAAGTGCAGAAAATTCTTGGAAAGGAAAACAAACTGAATTTCTTTACTATAGCGTGAAATTATTCAATAGTGATACACTTGCGAGAAGTAATGGCACACAATTGTATAAACAAAACTATCAGTACTGATTTTCGCTTGATCGTGTGATTGTAAGTGTTGCGACGCACTATTACGTGATATGTCTGTATGATGTGGAAATAGTATGATATTAGTTTGATGAAAGTACGTACGCAGAGGAAATCAAAATAATAAAGATTCAACTAATAGAGACTCTATTATAATTACCTGTTGAACTTAACCTATTAGACTTCTACTTTCGATTTTATTCCTCTCCTCCTCCCCCCTCTCTCTCTATCTATCTCTTTCCTCTCTCTTTTTATTATTTTCTTTCCTATTTTCTTCCTTTCTTATTCTATTTCCTATCTATTCGTTGTTATTGTTAATCTTCTTTCCTTTCAACTACTTTTATTCCTTTTTTTCTTTCTTCTCTTCTAATATATTTTCCTTATTCTGTCAATATTTCTATTAAAATTTTTGTGTTCCATTCTACATATCTCATATTTTCCTTCGTTTTCTCCAAATACTTTATTTATTTATTTCTTTTTCTCTTTTTTCTTTATCATTTTTCCTATATTTCATTCCCTAATCTTTAAATTGCAAACCTTTTTTATCTTATCCGGTATTCCCTTTTCCTTTACATTCATCTTTACATCTCATACTTTCTAATTTTTCTCTATTTCTCTTTTTTTGCATTTTCCTTTCTATATTTTGTAGATAATCCAGAGATTATTTATACTTTGTAATAAAATGATTTAACCCATTAACTACCCATGATTTTTGCCTATCTTTGAGCATTATTCTTAATAGAAGTGACGAGAAATTCTTTAATCAAAACCATGTTTCCTTCTAAAATCAGGTGTGTTCTTTCGATTAGCGTGGTCAAAATTTCATTTTCATGCTCCAGAAAAACAATATGGCGGATTTTAAGTGAAAAGGTACCGAAAAATTGAAAATTTTTTCTTTTCATATTTTTTTTTCGAATGGTTTCGGTATTGAAATTCAGTTCTAACTGTGCACGTTGGTGCACGTTAGAGTTGAAGTTTTTGAAAAAATTTTTTCCCCAAACTTACACACACTGCACCTTTCCAAAATGGCGGATTTTGCATAAAATTCTGTAAAATATAGGTTTTTCTTAAATCTTTCTCTAAAAATCAACGAAGTATGTATGTTTCTCTATTCAAAATGGATTTTTTCAATAAACAGTACCCTACCGAACATGTACCAATAATTTCAGGAGTTTACAAATTCTTTCCTCAGAAACAACGCATCTAACACGAAAATTGACCGGAATACTTTCATTTACAAATTTTATGTGGAATACAACAGTATTTTTTTCATCCATGAATTCTGATTTTTTTCAATTTACATCCATCATATTGGATCCGCCATCTTGAATTTGGGAAATTGGGAATTTGATCATTAGATTTGGATTTAGAAGTCATAAAAATATGAAACTACGTTCAGAATTGCTTGTTGCAGGACTCTTGTGCGTCGTTAATTACGAAAAAATCTATAATTTTTATGGTTTTGAAGCCGCCATATTAGATCTGCCATCTTTGAGGATATCCAATTTATTGGTGCATGTTCGGTAGGGCACTGTTTATTGAAAAAATCCATTTTGAATGGAGAAAAATACATACTTCGTTGATTTTTAGAGAAAGATTTAAGAAAAACCTATATTTTACAGAATTTTATGCAAAATCCACCATTTTGGAAAGGTTGCCGTGTGTGTAAGTTTGGAGAAAAAATTTTTTCTAAATCTTCAACTATAACGTACACCAACGTGCACAGTTAGAACTGAATTTCCAAACCGAAATCATTCGAAAAAAAAATATGAAAAAAAAAATTTCAATTTTTCGGTACCTTTTCACTTAAAATCCGCCATATTGTTTTTCTGGAGCATGAAAATGAAATTTTGACTACGCCAATCTAAAAAGCGCACCTGATTTTAGAAGGAAACATGGTTTTCATTAAAGAATTCCTCGTCACTCTTATTGAGATAATGCTCAAAGATAGGCAAAAAATCATGGGTTTCTGGTCGTTAATGGGTTAATATAATGATTTATCATAAAATGATATAAGATATAAAAATAAAGTTGTAAAAGAAAAAAATGGAGAATGTTTTCATACTTTAAATTTTTTTTCTTTTTCCACACACACACACACACACACACACACACACATGCACGCGCAAATGCACACACACGCACGTCCGCACGCATGCGCGTACTTTACATATTTCTCTTTTTAAAAATTTCATTTATTTCCACTTTCTATCTCATTAGGTTTCCTATATAATCTCTTTTCCAATTTTTTTGTTTCAAATTCTCTAACTCTTGTTAATTTCTCATCTTTTTTGTCTTTTAATCTTTTTTTAATTCTAATTACAGCAAATTTCCTTTTTGGTACTTTATTTCGCAACTTATTTCTATATATTTCGCAACTTATTTTTATATATTTCCTCCTTTATTATATGTATATATATATTTGACATTTTTCATCTCCAAGTCTTATTTTTTCTTTACTCTTTCTATTCCTCTTCTTTTTCTACATTCTCACATTCTTTCCGCTTCGTATTTTAATACCATGCCAATTAAAATGCTAAACAATTATAATGTCTTTGTGTTTTAAATTCTCTTTGTATCTTTTTGAAACATTCTTTTTTTATGCTTTATATTTATCTCATAGCTGTCATCTCCTTTCTCAAGTCTGTTTCTTATATGTTATGCTTTTTGATTAAAACATGTATTCAAAATATTTTATTCATTTCATTTTTTTCTATCTTCTTTTCCTCCTAACTTCAGTTTATTTTATTTTTCTTCTTATTTTTCTTTTTAAATATCATACCATCTTTTATCTTCTCCACATTGATCTTCATTTAGATGTCACACATATTTTTTTCTATGTGAATCTCTTTAATCTTTTTATTATTATCCTCATTCTTCTCTTCTGTTATCAAAATCATATTATTTGCTTTCTATATATTATATCTTTCATATTTCTGTATTAATGAATTCGATTATCCGCACTATATAAAGTTACCTAATTAAAAAAAAATAATATAAACATTTAAAATAATTAAAATCCAATTCTGGCATATTCATTTTATTTAACAGAACATATATTAATATTTTATCCTGAAAGGTTCACATATATTATATCATTGCATATTTAAATATTTTATATAATCTGTAATATACACTAGTATGATGTAATACGGATAATCGAATTACAAGATTTCTGTCCAAAATAGCATCAGGAATTTGTTATTAGCAGCAATAAATTTAGAATATTATTTACATACACTCGCGCGCATATATGAAATTTAGCATCACAATAATCAAAAATACAAATTGACTCTAACAATATTATATCATTATACTAATCAATTAATCAATTAATAATCAATTAATAATAATCAACTATTATCTCACATTTTGTTGTAATATTAGGTAGTTTAGGTAGACGTCAACCAAGCAGTTCAAAGTCTTCATCAGATGTGTCATACTGACGCTCAACGTGTTCAAAGTCCACAACTGCACAGAGAGAATTACATCTATGTAATAAATTTTCTCTAGTTTAAATAAATCTACTAATATTTAACTTCTTTATATTAAAAATGTTAATTTTATAAAACTCTTCAAGCTCTTTCCCATACGGAAAATAATTAGTATTAGATATCCACTAGATATCCATTATAGACAAGGATATCCATGAATATACGAAAAACAGTCATTACAGATGCTATAGATATCCAAATGTTCACAATTCGAAGTTTCATAGATATCTACAGGATGTGTAAATCAATATCCTGTAGATATTTTTACAACATTCAGTGGATATCTAGGTTGTTCGGAAAGTAATTTCGTTTTTTCCCAACAGAGGACTTAATTGTATTTTTTCACAGCCAACTTCACACTTAAGCCGCATAATCATTATATATCTTGACAGCTGATATAGGCTTGCTTGTGAAAAAGTTCGATTGATTCTACGCAGTAGTTTTTGGTTGGTGCCCTTTCAAATATGGAAAGTGAAAAGCAACATTTTCGGCATATTTTACTTTTTTACTATCGAAAAGGTAAAAATGCTGTTCAAGCAAGAAAAAAATTATCCGATGTGTATGGAGAAGATGTATTGACAGAATGCCAGTGCCAAAACTGGTTTGCAAAATTTCGATCCGGCAATTTTGATGTTGAAGATGCACCACGTTCTGGTCAGTTGAAGCTGATGAAGACACAAAAAAAGGCATTAATTGATGCAAACCGGCGAATAACAACTCGTGAGATCGCTGAGAGATTAAATTTATCGAATTCGACCGTTTATGATCATTTGAAACGCCTAGGTTTAATCTCAAAGCTCGACATATGGGTTTCTCATGTTCTTACGGAAAGAAATTTGTGCCGTCGCGTTGACGTTTGTGATTTGCTTCTCAAACGTCAAGAAAATGATCCATTTTTTAAGCGCATCATCACTGGGGACGAGAAATGGGTTGTCTACAACAATGTTAAACGTAAGAGATCATGGAGTAAAAAAGATGAACCGGCTCAAAGCACTTTGAAAGCCGATATTCATCAAAAAAGGTGATGCTATCTGTTTGGTGGGATTTCAAAGGAATCGTTTTTTTTGAGCTTCTACCGGACAACACAACGATCAATTCTGAAGTGTACTGTCATCAGCTGGACAAATTGAATGATTCACTTAAACAGAAAAGGCCAGAATTGATCAATAGAAAAGGTGTAGTGTTCCACCAAGATAATGCGAGACCTCATACAAGTTTGGTAACTCGCCAAAAGCTTTTACAGCTTGGATGGGATATACTGCCACACCCACCATATTCTCCAGATCTGGCACCTTCTGATTATTATTTGTTCCGGTCTCTACAAAATTTTTTAGACGGTAAAACCTTTACTTCAAATGGAGGAGGTCAAAAATCACCTGGATCAGTTTTTTGCCAGCAAAGAACAAAAATTTTATGAGCGTGGAATCATGCTACTGCCAGAAAGATGGCAAAAGGTATTGGACCAGAATGGACAATATATATAATTCAATAAAATATTTATTCACTATAAGAAAATCGTCTTTCATTTTCATAAAAAAAAAAACAAAATTACTCTCCGAACAACCATATCTATTAATATAGATATATTTACTATTATGTATTGATATTTTTGTGTGGATATTTATTCTATCTTCTATGATACATATGATGGAATTTGCCATCAAAAAAATTAACCGTCTGGTTAATTTTTGGAGCTCTGGGGCTCCTCTCACAAAATAAGAAATACATATAACAGTCTTCGAACTAATGCGCTCTTTGACCGATAAGTCATGATTCGTGAGACCAGTACCGCGGTCTTATATACTGTCTTACTTAGATGGATCTCACTTTCGAGTTAGGCGTTTTCCTTTTCGCCAACTAGCGGCAAGGCGTAGAAATATATGAATATCCATTGGATATCTTTGATAGTTACTTGGTGAATATACATTTACACTCAGGAAAACGGGCTATTAAATTTTAGCAAAATTTTTTAACATCTTTTAATGGCAATAAATCAGTTTTCCATGATATCACCGTATAAGATATGAATTTGACGTTATTCTATTAGTTAGTCAAGCATTTGCTATGAACTAAGCTATTAAATCTCTTTCTTCTTAGTTATGAGTTATTTATATTTAATCAATATTTGTCTCTGACTTTTTGAATGTCGTGATGTGTTTAAAGATCTGATTATATATTTAAATAAATAATTTATCACGATCTTTGGTTTGCTCGCGTTTTAATCGTCTACTTATATCTTGGCCTACAAATTAACCAATTTTACAATATGAAATAAAGCTCAAATTAAACAGTCTTCTTAAAAACTAAAAAAACCAAATTTGCAAAAAATGTTTTACTGGTAAAAATGTTTAAATGATTTACTGGTACAAAAATTTTACAAAAATTTTTTCCTGGTACAAAAATGTATGGGCTTTTAAGCTCATTTATTTCCTAATAAATTCATATTTTAATTAATTTTCTTTAATCAATTTTACGTTCTTTTTTGATAAAGTTATATCGTTTTGAGATTTGAATCTTACCGTTTCTACCGCATCTTGGATCGAGTTACACTTTAATTTCTTTTTTGAAAAAGTTTTCCATGATAATTTGTTTCTGAACTGCAGATTTTACAAGGAAATTTTCATTTTATAACATTTTCTTCAAAACGGTGTAACTTTATCAAAAAAGAAATCAAAAATAATTTATTAAAATATGGATTTGTTAAGAAATAAATAAGTTTAAAAACATTTTTGCATCAGAGGTCGATTTTCCTGAGCAATGCAGCAATTTAAAAAAAATTTGTTTCTCATTTCTCAAAGTCTATCTTCAACATCCGTCATTTTAAAATATTTTTTGTAAAATATTTTTTGTAATTGAAATTTTTCATCTTAATACGATAATTTTTCGCTAATTTATTGTTATTGAAGGATGTTCAAAAATTGTGCTAAAATTTAGTGGCTTGTATTTTTTGTATGTGAATGTAGATATGTGGATAACATGTGTCACATCTAGTGGATATTTCTGGTAGCTACTTACAATTAGTGGATATAGATATATGAATGCTATATACATATATCATTTGAATAAACACAATTAAACTGAACACCGCGTATTTTCATTCAAAGAACTTTGCACCGGCGATCTATCCGCGCTGCGAAAAAACGTCCGAAAATACGACCGTTAGAACTTTGTTTTTATTTCAGATATGTTTCTATAAATACATTTATATTTTAATTTCTTGTAAATATTTTCTAAATGTTTTTTTAAATCTTTTCCAATACAATTTGTGTAGTTTTTACTTATTGTAAGAAATATGAATAATACACATAAAAGAAAATTTATTTCAAAACGCCATGCTAGACGAATTATTGCAAATCAAACAAATATAGATATTGCAGGATCATCTAGAGAAATTTTAGAATGGCATACCATTAATACTTCTAAACAGACTTCAAATGTAGAATTGCGTAAAATCTCTGATGAAGAAGTTTCTTCATGTAATACAAACAGTGTTAATGATATGATTAATGACATATATGTCAATGTTACACCTTCAGAAGATTTTAATAATGATAATAATAATGATAATGATAAATCTGTTATAAATGAAACACATAAACATAATGCTAATAATGATAATGAATTAAATAAAGCATTAGCTACATGGGCTGTATCACACAATATTTCTCACACAGCTTGTAATGCATTGTTAAAAATTTTGAAGCAACATACTTCGCATAATCTACCTGCAGACACACGAACATTATTAAAAACTCCAAGACAAACCCATATTTTAAAAATATGTGAAGGAAAATATTTTTATTTCGGTTTGAATGACATTATTCAAAAAATGCTATTGAAAGATAATAATACGTTAAAAGATAATAATATGTTAATTTACTTATTAATATTGATTTGCCATTAGCAAAATCTTCTCAAGCGTCATTATGGACTATTTTATGTTCAAATACAATAAATAAGACAGTATATCTTGTTGGTGCATATTTTGGTTACAAAAAACCCACAGATTCTAATGTTTTCCTGTAATCCTTAGTCGATGATTTAATTAATTTTATTAATAATGGTTATATTTATAATGAAAATGTAATCAAAATCAGATTGTTTGCTTTAATTTGTGATGCATCCGCTAAATCTTTTGTGTTATGTATAAAAGGTCATACTGGATTTTACAGTTGTACGAAATGTGTAATTAAAGGAAAATGTATAAATGATAGAGTTTGCTTTCCATATAGAAAAACATTATATCCTTGTAGGAAAAATGATCTATTTTCCGTTAATGGTTATCGAGATTTTCAGATTGGGTATTCTATCTTAAACAATATTCCTGGATTTTTACCTATAAATAACACACCACTAGATTATATGCATCTTATATGTTTAGGCGTTGTTAAAAAATGATTCTTTTTTGGATAAAAGGTCCACTTCATATACGCTTAAGTATCAGATACATTAATATCACATTTGTTAATTTTGCTGAAAAATACAACATCGAATGATTTTGTTAGAAAATCTAGATCGTTAAAAGATGTTAAACAATGGAAAGCAGCAGAGTTTAGAAATTTTTTATTATACACAGGACTTGTTGTATTGAGACACGTATTAAAGCAAGACATATTTTTTTCATTTTCTCACGCTGCATATAGCTATTACAATTCTTATCGTTCAGATGTGAATGAGGAACTAATCAATTTTGTTGAATCTATACTTAATCATTTTGTCATGTCATTTAAAATTTTATATGGTAAACAATACATGTCGCATAATATATATAACTTATTACATTTATGTTTCGACGTAAAAACATATGGTTCGTTAGATAATTTTAGTGCCTTTCGCTTTGAAAACTACATGATACAGATTATATCGATCAAAAAACGATTACGTAAACATGAAAAACCGCTGCAACAACTATATAAAAGATATAATGAAATTGAAAAATTGTAATTCTTTTCTCTTAAATATTAATAATAAAACATT